TGCTTAAATCCTGAGGAGTTAAGCTTCGTTTCTGCACCCTGCTAAAGGAGCTCCCTTCCCCACACAGAGGGGAGCTGACATCCCTCAGCAGGCAGCTCTTCTCAGCCACCCCCATCTGGGCCTGGAAGAGCCAAGCAGGAAGGTAAGGGGCCCAGGGGGCTGCCTCAGGTGGGTGAGCCCTGCGCAAGCGCCTGTCCCTCAGGGGCTGAAAATCCCCCTTTGATCTTGAGAGGGAGCATCTTCAGCTCCTGAACGGAGCTTCCCGAGGCCTCTCGCCCATCAGTCAGCCTGCCCTCTGCTTACACACCGCGTAGCCCCTCCTGAATGGCTGGCATCAGCAAGTCTCTAGAATTGGAGTCAAATTTTCTCCATAGAAATTTGGAGACATCCTGATGGGCCTTTTAGGTATAGTTTGCATAGATGTGAATAGGCTTTACTTCTTTAATTAGATGGACTTCCGTTTGTCTAGCCTGTAAACCACGTAACTGTTTTGCAAATCTTTTCAGAGATATTTCTGCTGCATTAGAAGTATTTTTACTTGAATATAGAAATAATTCTCATTCCTCTCCCCACCCCCAAAATAAGTCAGTTAAAGAATACTTGCTCAGAAATTGCCGGGAATAGGATGCATATTTTTAATCTTAGAAGAAGGCAAACAGGCTGAAGAATGTTGGACAGGAGAGCCCTGAATTCAGATCTGTCTTCAACGATTCGTAGATCGTCATGTCTTCTCCGGGACCTTCCTTGTTGTGATACCAGCAGGGATAATAACAGCCTAACAAAAACTGAATTCCTGGAAAGAGAGTTTCGTTGAAACTAACTTTCTCACCTAAAGGGTCCATTGGAACAAAGCTTTAAATTGCAATAATCTTTGCCTTTCTCTCCCCCCCCCCGACCTCCAGTTTGAGCAGGAAAACCAACGCCTTGTGGGTGAAATGAACAGCCTGTTTGATGAAGTGAGGTACAATTTTTTTCCCCTTCCATTTGCTCTTTTTCACATTTTGATCAAGGTTTTCGGCCCACATCACCTGCTTGAGGTGAGATCACGTGGGCAGCAGGGTGGGGATTGGTGCTCATCCCGGCGGTGCGTTTGTAGATCGGCCTCTCAGCGGGGCTGGTGCTTCCTACAAATTCTGTGCTCTGGTTCAGCCCAGGTTTTTTGCAGCCTTATTAGAATTCCCAACTCCCAACAGGAACCATCTCTGACTAATGCTGTTTTATGTTGCACAGATAATACGCGTCCAATTTTTCTATCTAGAAGTCTGCAGTTTTACACACCTAGAATCTACACCTAATCATATAAATTGTGTTTTTCCAATGTTGCTATGAACAACTGATCTGCTTTGTGTTAAGCAATTATTGAAAATCTGCTTCATCCAATAAGGCTTCATTATCTTAGGAATGTAGGATATTCTATTTACTTCATTCTGTAAAAGCGGGAAATGTTTATTCTTAACTGTTTTATATATAACAAAGTCTTTTGGCTTTCCATTGTTATAATTTGATCATTTTTAGGCAGATTGAAGGGAAAGTAGTTGAAATATCTAGACTTCAAGAAATATTTACAGAAAAAGTATTACAACAGGTAAGAAGAATCTCATATTTGACTTTTTCACTAAAGCATTTTGAGCTCTGTACAAAAATTCATGGCACCCCGTAGGATAGAGACAAAGTATCTGTGATGATGGAGCAAAGTACAAATTAATGAATAGAGCGGGGACTCTGAGGACAGTTACCAAAAGAGGGTGTGTAACACACATTTGCTGCAGAAATATACTCCAGGGATAACATTATGGGGGATGAAGAAGTGCACTGGGGCTATGAAGACACTGCCGAGTTCCCAGATAATTCTTCCAATTCCCAGTGTAGCCTATATCCTTGAGATTTCCTTGTGGTCTCTCATCCAACTCCTGTCCATCTCAAAAGTCATACTTACCTTTTTCACCTAGCTGCTGCCATTTGCAGAGTCACCAAATATGTGTTAACTTAATTTCTAGGAAACTGAAATCGATAATATCCACCAGATAGTTGTGGGTGCAACAGAGAACATCAAGGAAGGCAACGAAGACATAAGAGAGGTAATCTTGGCCAAGGCTTTCTTGGTCTTTATTATTCTTCACTGGGCCATGGCAAGTTGTACTCCAGTGGCCTGGCTCTTTTGCATTCTGGTTTCTGGTTACACTTGTTCCGTGTGGTGTGAAGACGGTCATCCATTTGTTCATTTAGGAGTTATAGAGCGACCACCCATCTTATAAAACTCTGGGCAGTTCAGTCGGTGGAAGGGCTGTCACTCTGTCCAAAATTAACTGTGGGCAGTATTTGCACCCGAGGGCCAGCCCCCTTCCTTAAGAAGGAAAGATCAGAGGCTGCACAAAAGCTCTCCGATGCTGTGGGGTCTAGGATGGCGTCTGGGGGGTGAGGATGGGGGTAGAGGGGAGCGCTCCACCACCTCCAATCAGCCGTGCTTTGGGGTATAGTCCCCCACTCTCCCCCCCCCGAATGCTGAGGCTGAGACCCTGTGCACCAGACCCCCTGAGCACCATTCCTCGCTCAAAGCCTCCTGCACACTTTGCAAGCGAGGACGGATGGACAACTGCTAAAATGCTACTTCTCTGCTCTTACTTCAGCTCTTCAGATAAACAAGAGGCATAAAACAGAACACAAAACGGGGGTGAGGGCATACATTAAAAAGCTTCATGAACACGTCGGTCATAATTTGATGGGCCTTTTCTCTGTATTCTGCTCTTAAGAGGCTGCCATGTGGAACAAAAGATCTGAAGACAAAAACTGTGTTCGAGGCATAAGTTTAAAAAAATATTTTTGCACCCTTCCTGAATTGCCCACTCCAACGTATGTCTTTTAAAAGGATGTCTTTGTTCTCCACAGGCGATCAAGAATAATGCTGGATTTCGAGTGTGGATCCTTTTCTTCCTGGTCATGTGCTCCTTCTCTCTGTTGTTTCTGGACTGGTACGGAAGCTGATCCTGGCCAATAAACCCCCCCCCCCCCGGAACCCCCTCGCCAGGTGACACTGCATTTCATGCATCATGGCTGTAGAAATGTGGGTGTCTCAGAACTCATGGGGAGCTTTAGGCAGCAGGCGGCTGCCAGGAAATGCTCAGGAAAAGTGTTGACAGGTACATGGTTACAGCAGCGAGTTGCCAAACATTTATATGGGATGAAATGCCGAGCAGCCGCTTCCCCTTCAGGGCTGAGGCCGTGTTTTCCAGCATGAGGGATGCCATTGGCCTCCCCTGCTGGCTGAAGTAGGGGGAGCCCGCCCCCCGAAAAAGTCCCCTTTATGGAGAGGAGTTTCAGCTCAGAACACTGACTGCTGCTTTTGGCTCTTGCCAGAAACTCTTGTGTCCCAACTCCCTTCCCTCATTTTGTCTTCCCTTTCAAAGCCCCAATTGGCCTTTTCAGCTCTGGGACAGGGAAACATGGCTCTGTGGAAGCCCCCCCCCCCCCCCCCCCCCAAAAAAAGGGGGGGGGGGGGAGGTCTTCTTGAATGATCCATTTCAGTTTACAGCAAATGGTGATTGCTCAGACTTAGTCATGCAAATAATCGTTTTTAGAAAGGTTATAGAAGCGGTTTCTGTGGCAAGCAGCGTGACCAGAATTTCTTTCCCTCTCTACTGCTGCAAACATCTATTTAAACATACGGAGTTCGAGACTCGAGCATACGATTTTATTTTACATAGAGTGAAAATGTCAAAAGTTACATGTGAATTCAATAAAAGCACTGACTACTAGGGAATACAAACATGGTATTGTGTGTACAAGAGAGAACTCCTTGATGCAAACGAAAGTTTTGGCACATAAGTTATTGCTTTGTATGTATTCCAAGCAGCAGCAATTACATACAAAAAATTGTACAATATGTAAGTATATTTAATATTAAAATTTCCAACAAAACTGTAAACGGCATTTTCCAAGTATATTGATGCAAAAAAAGATTCTGGAAAGAAATATAACCTAGAACCATGTTTGTCTTATGGGGGTGGGTGGGGAGGAGAGATGTGCTGACGATTTAAAAGTATGTTGCGGTAAAATGAATGAAACTTTTGACATTCCACTGGGAAAGAACACATTCAGAAGAACAAAAATGACAAGAGTTGTGAGCTACAACATGTAATTCAGAACAGCACACAGAGGGCAGAGTGTCTTCCTAGTGCAAGGCGGTGTTTTTCCAACCAGCCCCCATCCTAGGAAAGATTCAGATTAAAATGTGCCACCGTCCTACCCCTACAGAGCTTAGCGGTGGAGGTGGTTAGATTTGGGCTGCCGCCCTTGGCCGCTTATGTTGCAGGGGCTCAAGCGGCCTTCCCAAACTCTCTGGAAAGGTATTGATGGTGACCGTGGAAGAGCATTTGAACATCACAATGTTCTTAATTTAGGAGTCTGTCAAACATAGTGTGTACCTAGCTGGCCTTGGGAGTGCTTAGTTTATGTCCAGAAAGCAGCCTTGTCCTCCCTCCCTCCCTCCCCATCCATCCATCCATGGGCCTTTTCAACCTCAGAATCGTCTGGCTGGCATTTTATTCCTTAGCTGACTTGACATCAACATCCCACTGAACATAAGGGAACCGATGTCTCTTCACCGCAGCCTGACAGGGAAGGAATAGGGAAGGCCAAAGAACGCTGCCAACCAAGGGAATTTTACCATGTTAAGGTTTCCAAAGGAGGCCATTCTAGTAAAATATGTCCTTTCTAGTGACACAGATTGTATTGTGTCATTTAAAGAGTTTCCGTCTTGTTTAATCTCCTTAAGTCACCACTACCCCTCAGAATATTTTCTCCTTTATATTCCTGCCCTTTATTTAAAACTCCTAATCTGTCATTAAAGCTGTATAGCTCTTCAATGTCTAATTTCTATTTTGTTTGCACAAGATTCTTTCATGTAGTGAAAACAGTGAAGTTCATGCTATAACAGAAGCAATTAAGCCTGAAGGGAATGGATATAGTGAGCAAAGTCAGGCTGCTTTTATTTCTTGGTCTTCATTTTGGAACTGCAAGCCAAACCCCATGGAAGATTTCACAGCTGATTTAAAGGGAAACAAAACACGAGGACACACAGTAAGAAGAAGAAGCACGTTATCCCACAACAACGAGCCCTGCCTGAATGTCTCTGTCAGGTGTCTAAATTACAAGAATGGGCCTAAGTTCAATGCCACTGAAAGAGAAATTGGTGTTAGAGCTCTAAAGCAATGCCAATGTGCCCCGGGCCATTCGTGGCCCACGTTCTTTTTCGTTGCTCCGTTTTGCAAAGCAGTTGTCAGCAACCAAAGCAATTACACCATAAATTATGAGCAATCTCTAAGTGAACCTAACAATGAAAACCATGAAAACCGCCTTTGGGCCCTTCTTCATCAGACTCATCCTCCTAAACAGGTTTCTCAGCTGCCTCAGTCTCCTGCTCAGAAAGTTTCTCTTCCGAAAGCACCGTCATCCATGGAGAAACTGACCGGGTGATGGTCTGCTTGGCCAGGTTGTAGTGGTTGATCACCGTGTAGAACTTTCCTCGAGCGCTAGAGTCTTGTTCAGAATAGTAGCTCTCTAATCCAGCCGGAATGCATTGATTGTTCTGAAAGACACAGATCACACACACACACACCCCTGAAAACCAGAGAGAAAGCAAGGCGGCACTCTGTGTGTGTGTGTGTGTGTGTGTCTCCCAAAGTAGCTGAGAAAGACAAGGCGCAGGGCAGCTTCTCGGGCCCAGCAGCTGTGTCCCCCTTTGCATTGGTTTCTGTTCCCCAGTCTTTAACCTTCCTTCCTCTCCAGGGCACCTCAGTGGTTTCTCTCTCTCTCTTGATTCTCCTGCTTCCAAGATTCGCAGAGCGCCCTGGCCCAAAGGAGCCCTTTCTTGTCCTGTGGCCCTTGTTTCTAGGGACTGCCATTTGCGGGGCCTTTGATCTCCCTGCCCCCGACCACCTTTCTGCTCCTCTGAGGGATAGAAGAGAGCCTGCTTCTCTGCTCTGAGGAGGAAGCGCCTGGCAGGTCTGGCCCAGCTTCGCCTGGGAAGTGCCTCCATCCCTGGGATCTAAGCTGGACGTGGACCCAGAGGCTGAGAATCAAAGGCTATTGGCCTGAAGGGCCGGCCCAAAGTGGTTGTTCCCCCAGGAGCCACGTTTTTCCAGACTGCCCTGATCGAGGGTTCCAAGGGCCCAAATGAGTTGTTACAGCACAGAAAATATTGATCCCGGGAAGGAGTATTCATGCCTGGCTCTTTCTCCCCCATCTCTGTGCCTCCACACACATCCGAGGCTCCCACCTGCGCTCTAACGTCTTTGCCCTTCTTGCACGGTTGACCCCGCCGACTAAGCATCCCTGTGGCCTTCAGCCCCCTTCCTTACCTTGAAGATGAAGCCTTCTGGGCAGGCTTGGTCGTACTTATAGGCCTTGTAGACCACCAGAAACCCAACGCAGGCCAGGAACACGAGGGCAAACAGGATCAGGGCCGTCACCTGCAAACAGATTTACCATTTCTTTTAAGTAACACACGTTGCTGCGAAAGGCTTCCAAGCAGAGCGAAGGATTGTCCTCGACATCTCGCGGGGAGCTTCCCTACCTGAGCTGGCAGTTTCTATGGGGGGGAAGAAGAAGAGAGAGTGCAGTTTCACCACCAGCCCGTTCCCCCAGAACCCCTTGCCCACCTGCCCAGCTCTACAACGACCTGGGTCTCTCTCCGGCTGCTGGTCCCGCATTGCCCCTTACAAGGGACCCCTTGCTCAGCTGGCCATTCTACCCGCCTGCTTAGCTATCTAAACAATCACCTCAGTGTTAAATCCACTTGCTGTAAGCTGCCCAAACTCGCTCTGGATACTGAGATGGGCAACATATAAATTTAATAAATAAGAAAGTTTACTCCTAAGTGATGGCTCAGCAGAGCAGTTTGGTGTTGATCAAGAAAGTCCCTTGGCTGGACAATATAAAGCGGCTGACAATATAATGCAACATAATGATGGGGCCGTTGGATTGGATCGTACTCAAGGTGTTCCTGAGGATCTTCCAAGGCACCTATGAGTTGCAGTGAAGAGTTAAGAGGAGAATTATAGCAACAGCTATAAAGACACCAACGTTGAGAACAAACAGAAAAAGCAAGGGAAGTCTTCCAGAAGTTTTCCACTCAGAAGGTTCTAATTTCAATTTGGTGTGATGAAGAGACGGACGGAACTAATTTCACGATCAGAGATAGGAGTAAGCTGAAAACGCCTACGTAAAGATGTCTGCTTCCAAGGTATCTTAAAAAATATTTGGTAATTATAAAAACCCCTGGCACTAGAACATGAAGGTAGATTTACGTCCTCATTATCAAGAAGGCTGGAAAAATCACTGAAATAGCTATGGGAATATGGCAAGCAACATAAAATTTAAAATACAAACCAGAATAAGCCAATCAATAAAAAAAGCACTGGTAAACGTTCTATCCAAACAACGCCATAAATCTGGAGCATAACACAGTAGTGAACCAACTGTAAGAAGTTGGCCTATCTATCTTGTTGGAGAAAACTCCCAAGAATAACATGGACAGCCACGAAAACAAACCGATGGATCATCAAACAAATGGACCCAGAATCCTCTCTCTCTAGGCTCAAATTATCCCATTTCTGGGAAGACCCAGCTCTGTGGACAAGGTGGCTCTCCTGCTGGAAAAGACTGAAGCACTGTGAGCACCCGGCCCACTTAGCTGGAAGGCCCCATGCCGTTGTTGGCCTTCCCTGTTGGCCTTGGCATGGCAGTTTAATTCGTTCCACTTACACACGGTTGAGTGGCAGATATTGGAAGACTTCCCTAAAAGGCTACCCACACGTTGACCGGTGTCTCTGGGTGTAACCAGGAGGGCTTGCGGGAGTTCCACAGCAAAAGCCTTCCCTTTGCTGAAGGGCCCATCCTTTTCCCTCTTCCCCTCTAACACTGTGAACTGGCACCACCCAGAGGCCCCAGCTGCCTCTCAAGCCCTCTCCAGGGCCCCGTTGCGTAGCGGCAAAGCGCAACAACCTGGGCCTGAAAATAATTCCCCAGCGAGTCAAGCAAAGAGGATGGAAGTTTGTTTGTCTCCTGACTTCTAGTCTACACAGGCCAAGACCTGATCAGTCCCTCGGTTATGCATTGCATGTTAAGTGGAAATATGCAATGAGGTTTCCTGTTTTTCACAGGAGAACTGAGAAATCTTGATCTATAAATAATGGTCTATTTTGCATACAAAAAGTATTCGACATCTCCGCATTTATACAGCTCACTCCAATGCCAGTAAGAGGCAGAAACCAACAAAATGAAGTTCATAACTAGACCCACATTTGTTTGCTTGTTCATTTCTTCATTCGGTCATTTGGCTAAACCACATTTTGAATTTCCAAACTTTTAAAAAGCCAACTTTTGCCCCTGTGCTGGGTGACTCTTCCCTCAGGTTCCCCGGAGGCTTTCCCAGGGGAGCTGTCCTGGGGTACTTCTGTGGATTTGCCTTTTCCTCTTCCCATCCGGGAGATGCATTTGCCCACAGTAGTCAGTCTAATTCTTCATCACTTGATGTGTAATTCCCTGCTAAACACAGGATCTCCCTGGATGAATTCTCCAATCCAGACACCTTCCTAGTCCCTGAAAACCTTTCAGATTCTCAGTCAACTACGTGCAATGGCACTGTCATCAAGGTCTACAGGTGAAACTCAAAAAATTAGAATATCGTGCAAAAGTTTATTTATTTCAGTAATGCAACTTAAAAGGTGAACCTAATATATGATATAGGCTCATTACATGGAAAGCAACATAGTTCAAGCCGTGATTTGTCATAATTGTTATGATGATGGCTTACAGCTCATGAAAACCCCAAATCCACAATCTCAGAAAATTAGAATATTGTGAAAAGGTTCAATATTCTAGGCTCAAAGTGTCCCACTCTAATCAGCTAATGAAGCCATAACACCTGCAAAGGGTTCCTGAGCCTTTAAATGGTCTCTCAGTCTGGTTCAGTAGGAAGCACAATCATGGGAAAGACTGCCGACCTGACAGTTGTGCAGAAAACCATCACTGACACCCTCCATAAGGAGGGAAAGCCTCAAAAGGTAATTGCAAAAGAAGTTGGATGTTCCCAAAGTGCTGTATCAAAGCACATTAATAGAAAGTTATGTGGAAGGGAAAAGTGTGGAAGAAAAAGGTGCACAAGCAGCAGGGATGACCGCAGCCTGGAGAGGATTGTCAGGAAAAGGCCATTCAAAAGTGTTGGGGACTTTCACAAGGAGTGAACTGAGGCTGGAGTCAGTGCATCAAGAGCCACCACACACAGATCCTGGACCTGGGCTTCAAATGTCGTATTCCTCTTGTCGCTCCTGAACAACAAACGTCAGAAGCGTCTTACCTGGGCTAAAGAAAAACAAAACTGGTCTGTTGCTCAGTGGTCCAAAGTCCTCTTTCCTGATGAGAGCAACTTTTGCATCTCATTTGGAAACCAAGGACCCAGAGTCTGGAGGAAGAATGGAGAGGCACACATTGCAAGATGCTTGAAGTCCAGTGTGAAGTTTCCACAGTCTGTGTTGATTTGGGGAGCCATGTCATCTGCTGGTGTTGGTCCACTGTGCTTCATTAAGTCCAGGGTCAATGCAGCCATCTACCAGGAGATTTTGGAGCACTTCATGCTTCCTTCCGCAGACGAGCTTTATGGGGATGCTGACTTCATTTTCCAGCAGGACTTGGCACCTGCCCACACTGCCAAAAGCACCAAAACCTGCTTCAATGACCGTGGGATTACTGTGCTTGGCCAGCAAACTTGCCTGACCTGAACCCCATAGAGAATCTATGGGGCATTGCCAAGAGAAAGATGAGAGACATGAGACCGAACAATGCAGAAGAGCCAAAGGCCGCTATTGAAGCATCCTGGTCTTCCATAACACCTCAGCAGTGCCACAGGCTGATAGCTTCCATGCCACGCTGCATTGAGGCAGTAATTGCTACAAAAGGGGTCCAAACCAAGTACTGTGTACATATGCATGCTTATACTTTTCAGAGGTCTGATAATGTTCTATGTACAATCCTTGTTTTATTGATTGCATGTAATATTCTAATTTTCTGGGATTGTGGATTTGGGGTTTTCATGACCTGTAAGCCATAATCATCCCAATTATGACAAATCACGGCTTGAACTATCTTGCTTTGCATGTAATGAGTCTATCTCATATATTGGTTTCACCTTTTAAGTTGCATTACTGAAATAAATGAACTTTTGCACAATATTCTAATTTTTCGAGTTTCACCGGTATTGTTCCTTGCATATTTATCCAAATAACAGCTTACACCACCAAGAAAAATCAAACATTCTTGTTCCCTATGGTCTTCCTCAAGTAATACTTTACTTCTACCCTATAAAACCTTTATGGGATTAAGGAACCAAACTTTAATTCCAAGTTTATATACTTTGCATGTTCTCTAAACTAACAAACATAACGAAGTTTTTTTCTTAAAATCCTATATTTCTCAATGAGTTGCTAAGCAGACAAATCTTCTTCCCTGATAATAAAGCCGCCGCAGGGCACCCCTCCCTCTGTCTCTTCCGGTTAGAATTCAGCCGGTCTGCTTATAGGCAGATCTCTCTGCAGCTTTGTGTTCACTCTCGCCACCTTCCCCCTTTTATAGCAGAAGAGCAGCCTTCTTCCAATGGTCAGGCACAGGTGCAGTCTCCCTATGGGTTAAACAAGTGGCATAGCTCCAGGCTCCTTGGTGCTCCTTCTGAGGTAGGTGGTTCTCTTGCAGATGTTTCATGACCCAACTAGGGAACGTTCTCAGAGCCAAATCCACTAATTTCTAGCAATTTCTGGGTCACGAAACATCTGCAAGAGAACAACCAGGCTCAGAGAGAGCATCAAGGATCCCCCAATTCAACCCTGAGCTACAAATAGTCTCCTATTGGCACAGCTATTCTATAAGCTATCAGCCTTCCCAAGTAGACCAGGCAGGAAACAACCCACCAGGTGAGTTCATTCTACTTTATTGTAAGGCTACCTTAACAGAATCTTGCAAATCTGAAAGTACAAATCTCCTGTTTTTTCTTTACAGCTGGAGAAGCTAGGGAAAGAGGGGGTCCTTCAGAGTCTCTTTCTCCACCCATGAGGCAGCTGCAAACTAGTTCCTCTTTTCTGACCGTTCCTTAGGCAACATTTCTTCCCTCAAGGTCTTTCTCATATGCCATTAGATAAATAAACCACAGCTGTATTTTAACATGTCTCAGTCCCCTGTCACAACTTTCCATACCATACGCGATGGTCATCCTCCGTCTCTGTCGCACAGGGCCACATACAGCATTCCTTGCATTGGTCAGTTTTGATCTTAAGTGAAACCCAAGGCTGGTCTTGCCCCATGTCTGCCTGTCTCTCTCTCTCCCTCCCTCTCTTTTCAAGTTAAATCACTGATATAATGTCATCTTAAATTCATGATGCTCAACCCTAAACTTCTAGGACAGTTTAGTCATCACTGGAAAAGAGTAGATGAAGGAAGGAAAGAAAGTAAATAAATTAGTTACTATGGAAACTATGGATCAGAGACTTGGAAAGTTCACCTTAGTACAGATGAAACTGTTTCCATACAAATACAGTTCTAGCAGTTCCTAGCACTTTCACTGAGTTTAAGGGGTGGGGTAGTACATTAAACTTCAGCCCCTTAAGGCTGAAAGGATTCTGCAAGGAAGTACTGCATACTTTTACTTTGATTCTTCAGTTTTTAGTTTGTGGCAATTGTTTAATATCTGCTAGCATTTTGAAGTGAGATAAATGTAACATTCATTTTTTCATCCTTGAACATGAGCTGATATGGCTTACCTTAAAACGTTCTGAGATGCCTTGAGTGATACTGACTGTGAATTCTGCAATTCTGGGAGAACGAAATTTCCCTTTCTTCCGATCAGGTTCATATTCCGTCTTCGTCTTCACCACCACCTTTTCAAAGAACACCAACAAAGGAGCCATTAGCAGCACAGTCGCCCCGCCACAACTGCCATGCCCGCATCTGCCTGTTCTTTGGCTTGTGGTCATGAGCCACAGGATAAAGAAGTTCGAAGTGACCGTCATCTTCTGTGCCGTGGCCAAGAAAACAGGTGTGTCCCCAGACCACTCACAAAGGATTCCCCACTCCCCCCTTTAATTTATTTTGTCCTTTCAATCACACAAAACGGACACAGCTGATTTAAATAATTCCCTGTGATTTTCTCCCTGGGGATGCAAGGTGCAGAGTCTGCCAGGAAATGCTTTTCCATGGGGTTTGCTGAAAGAAGACTAGAAAGGGCATTTTAAGGACATTGGGTTCAACCACCTTATATTCTAATCACCTTTGGATTTATATTTACTTTATAAATTAATATGTGGTCTTGAAACAAATGCTTGTAAAGGGAGGTCTTCCTAATTAAAAAGGAGGTAGCAATTTCCTGTATCTCACTGGGCAAACTGGCACCACATGAACTGGTCCTTGGCTGATCCTGACCCAGGGTCCCCAGGTGAGATTAACAGCAGCTTTAACTGAAGAAATGACTCTAGCTATGACCAGGTTAAACCAGGAGTGTGCAAGCTTCTTCAACCGGCGGTCATACTTAGCCTCTTAGTGACAAGTTGCAGTCTTCAATCTTAACAGAGCTCAAAGGGACCTTGGAGGTCTTCTAGTCCGGCCCTCCCTGCTCAAGCAGGAGACCTGATACCATTCCAGACCAGTGGCTGTCCGGTCTCTTCTTAAAAGCTTCCAATGATGGAGCACCCTCAACTTCTGGAGGCAAGTTGTTCCGCTTACTAATTGTCCCTCCTATTAGGAAGTTTCTCCTGAAGTTGCTTCTCTCCTTGATAAGTTTCCATCTTGCCTTGCCTTCTGACGCTTTGGAAAATAAATTTACCCCTTCTTCTTTGTGGCAGCTCCTCAAATACTGGAAGACTGCTATCATGTCCCCCATAGTCCTTCGTTTCTCTAGACTGACCATCCCCAGTTCCTGCAACCATTCTTCATAGGTTTTAGTCTCCAATCCTTTAACCATCCTTGTTGCTCTTCTCTGCCCTTTTTCCAAATTCTAAAACTGGATGCGGTATTCCAGGTGTGGTCTTACTAAGTCTTTATAAAGCGGTACTAATATGTCACGTGATTTTGATTCTTTGCTTACAATCAAGGATTATATTAGCTTTTTTTGGCGGCGGCTGCACACTGCTGGCTCACATTTAAGTGATCCAGCCCTCCACAATGGCTGTTTTTGAGCCAGACTTTGTCTAATTTGTACTTCTACCTTTGTTCCAAGGAATCGGATAATTAATGGGAAGAGTTTAAAACAAATCATAAACTCTTAGCAACTCGAAAACAATGCTAGAACTCAACAAGAATTTGACGGGCACGCGATGCCTCATTTTGCTTGAATAGCTTTCCCAGTAGATTGTAGGAATACACATCATAGATCTTAATCTCAGCAGATCATTGGCCAAAGTGCTCCAGGACATTCTGATCAGCCAGCTAAACGCTGTGCTGTCAGGTGGCCTTCGCAGCAGGCCTGGCAGAGTTCTCCTCCATTGTGCCTTCCAGACCAGATGAAGAAGGAGTTTCAGTCCTGGACCGCCTGCTCCTCAATATTTTTATGAATGACTTGAAGCGAGAGGCTCCCCAAATCTGCTGTAGAACTAGAGCCTTCCCAAGCGAAAAGAACCCCCAGGTCCAGGTCTTTTTTTTTTTTGTTGCTCCATCCTCTTTTAAGAAAGAGCTGGGCTCTGGGCTCTGAATGCCCCCTTCGAGCACCACCATGCTAGGATCCCCCCAAGAGACGAAGAACTCAAAGGAGCTTGTCGTGTATTAGATACCGGATAGCGAGTGTTGGCTGAACGACTTAGTCGTTCCTGATCCGAAAGGGAAGACTGCGCTCATTTACACTCATGAAGGCTTCTCTGAGGCCATATCCAGATCGGTCCTATCGGGCTGTTTATTTCCTGAGGAAGGAATGGACGGAGGGGGCTTTTGCCTGCCCCCTTCCGCGACAGAAGCATCCTCCGAGTCCGATGCTAGCGGAGTCGCGGGCCAGGGCCAGGCGGAGGCCACACCCGAGGGAGGGACAAAAGCCTCGCCGCCAGACGCGAACAAAGAAGAGCCGCCGCCGCCGCCGCCGCCCTTCCCCGCGACTCGTATCGGCCACCATTTCAGCTCCCGAATGGGTTTTTTTCCCCTTTGCAAGCTGATTAAAACGCCCAATTCTGAATTTACTCCCCCCTCGGTATTGATTTTAAATGTATCTATAGCGCTCTTAAATGATCCTTTGCACGCGGTCGCTCGACAATAGGCACGGGAATAAAGACCAGTAAAGCAACTGAAAATAACAAATGTAAAAATATTCAACGCTGTTCAGAAAAAAAAGGAGCGGGTTCTTTAAAACAAAAAAAAACCCGAGCCTGCTTCGCACTGCGCCCTGAACGCGCCCCAGAAAAGTCGCTGAGGGGAAACTCTTCCAGAGAAGCGGGGGTGGGGGCGGGGGTGGGGGGTCCGGCTTTCCCTGCGAAGGGCGCTGGGCCGAGGGCGGACGGAACCCACCCACCCCCGCCCCTCCGGTTCCCCGGGAAGGAGCGCCGCCGCCGCCGCCTCCCATCAGGGATACCCTGCGCTCCCTGCCCGGAAAGGCTCCGCGGCCGGCCTCGAGCGGCGCAAAGCGGGAGGGGGCCGGCAGACGAGCCGAAGCCCTTCGCGGCTGGGATGCTCCGGCCTCCCGCCTGGCTAGCGAGCCTCCTCGCCCCCGCGAGGGCTGCAGCGGAGTCCCGAGGCAGCCCGGGCGAGGCTCGCTCCTCGCGGCGCTGGCGCTCGGTACCTTGTCCGGCGGGGGGAACTGGAGCTGCCCGACATCCAGCGGCGTAATCAGCGGGATGGTGTCGAAGCCGTCCTCCGCCGGGGCCGGCTTGCCGCGCTTCTCGCCGAAAGGGCCGCCGCCCAGCTTCACCATCCTTCCCTCGCGAAGAAGAGGAGCCTGCAAAAAGGCCGCGCGGTCAGGCGAGGCTCGGCCCCGCCCCAGCTCCGGGTCCCGCCCCGCCCCGCGGGAGACCTTACCTGCTCGGGCCCCCGCTTCGTCCTCCGCTGCCGCAGCCGCAGCCGCGCCGGCCCTTCGCGAGCTCCTCCGCCGCTCTGCCTCCCAGCCCGGCGCCTCCCCTTCCGCAGCTCCCGGAGTGACGCAGGGCCGCGCGTGGCCGCCGACTACCCCGCCCAGTCGGCCTCGGCCGGGGCTGCGGCAGGGCGCGGGGCGGGCGGAGAGCGGCCGGAGGCTCCTGTGGGGCAACCGCTGACCTGCCTCAGGCGGCGCACCTGCTGGCGCTCGGCAGCCGGTCCCTGCTCGGTGCCTCCACCCGGCTCTCCGGCTGCTCCTGGCCATTGGGCGGCCGCCCTGTGGAAGAGAGACGCCCGGCAAGAGCCGTCGCGGCGCCCTGGCTGCCCGACTCCCCCCATCCCGCGAGCGCTGCCCAGCCGCGTCCTTCCAACAGTCCCGGCCTGTTGTCAGTCCCCTTCAGCAGCCAACCCTCATCCTAGGGGCAGAGGGGCTGAGAGCGGGCCTGATCCCTCAGTCCCTCCCTGCGAGGGTGGCCTTCTGCCCAAAGGGCCCAAGTTTCCTTGAAATACTCTCTCTTGGGGATCAGAGGAACCGAAGGGAAGGAACCAGACCCAACTTCCACATGTTTTTTAAATAAGTCAAGGCATTAGGATTGTTGGCTATTAATAATTAGCAACCCTCGGAAAATATCAGCAGCCCTATTATTTCAGTATTTGCTGATTGTCCTGTTTTAAACCCTCGCTCACTCATTATGGAAATGGGGTTATGCAGGTAAATTCAGACACGACTGAGGCAGCCTTCAGGTGAATAATAAATTTTAAAAAGAAATACAAGCCTCTAGGCAACAATTCAGTCAAATACAACTTTGATATGGTTTTATTTACTTATAAATAGGCATAACTGCTCTTCAGGAGGCCCAAGCCTCACTGGCCCAGCTCACTCTCATTCTGCAAAGTCTTCATGGTTAGGCCCCAGAGCGTCATGCTGGAGAAGGGCCCCCCGTTATTTCTGGGCTCAGCAGGAGCCACGTGGCTGCTCGGGGGGTCCTCGTTCCAGCCGCTGCCCAGAGGGGCACTTGTGGAAGAGGGAACTGAGGGCGGAGTGCCAGACTGCAGCGGATGACTTTCTTGAAAAGGACAAGACCGAGTCAGTCCTTCTGGAGATCTACACAGTTTGGCAGGATCCAAACTCAATTTCTGAGTGTCTTTTCTCACCGCAGGCCTTGCCCTGACAAATGGTGCTCCAGGGGGTCCCAACTCAATTGGCGAATGCCCCCTCGAGTGGGGTGGGCATTTCTCTGATGCCGACAGGAAGGAGACCGAGATTTCCTGGGTAAAGAAATCTGAACATTGGGACTTCTCGAGGTCAGGAATTTCCATGGTGTGAGAAAACTCGTCTACAATAGCTTTACAGTGGGTTTTTTTGTGTCGACGTAAGACAGCAGAACGGCTGAAGCATTTATTGCAGGTCTCACAGGGATACGGCTTTTCCCCAGTATGCGTTCTGACATGTCTTCGCAAATCTCCAGATCCCGCAAAGCATTTTCCTGTAAAATAAGATATTTATTGTCCCTTGAGCAAAGATCAGTGTTTTCATTCTAAAATTAATTCTAGGTTTTAATTAACATGTTTCGTTGTTATGTGCACCTATGCACCTTGTTCTCTATTAACCCAATGGGCCGATCAGATCTGGGAGTAGGTTAAAAAACTGCAAGGATCAGGAGGGGGCGCCTGACCGTGGAGGCTGTGAGCCAGCAGGAGCTGCTGTTGGACAAAGTAGGACATACATTTGTATATTAAACAGTCCCATTCAAGTCCAAAATTGATTTCCCCCACAACTGAAAAACCAGTAGGCCAGGGATGGGGAACCTTTTATGGCTCACTCAGGAATTCTGGGAGTTGAAGTCCATAAGTGATAAAAGAACCAAGTTTCCCCACCTCTGCACTAGTCCAACCTAAGAGACAAAGACACGGGGGCAAAGTGAAACCTGCAAAACTGCTAGATAAAAGTGTTACATTGGAGACATTTCTAAGGATTTTTGAAAAAAAATGGGAAAGAAGCTTGAAGACACAATGTCAGCAACAACATCTGCTACTGAAAAAGTGCTAATTAACAGATTTTAAAGAACTGAAAGATGCAAAGGAAAAGAATTTGGAAGAATTTATAGGCTGACAGAATAAAGAAGTAAAACAAGCTCCAGCATATGCAGAAATACTGGAAAATAAAACTGTGGGCTATAAGACAGATGTGAAAAACAAACTGGAAATCCTGACAATAAGAATGACTCATTTGGATTTATAGAAGAGGGCTAGAAAGCCACAAAGAAACGGGAGAAAGAAAATTTGTGTGGAAATTAAATCCCACAAAAGCATCTTAGCAGGGTAAGAACTAGAGCAAAAGAAAGAAAAATAAAGTTGATCTGTTGAATCAGGGTAAAACCAGAAATACTTTTACCACCAAGTCCTGTCAATTCTTTATAGACTGTTTGCTGATACCAGACAGAAACATTAATGAATTTTAGATTTGCAGATGGGTAAGGTGCTTTTTTTCAAGAGGCAACTGGACTTTCTGGTTTTTCTTTGAAGGCGTTTCGCTTTTCATCCAAGAAGCTTCTTCAACTCGGATAGGTAAGGGTTGAGATGGAAAAAGGGATTCAAGAAAGGGAATATCCAAGAGGGCTGAAAAATACACAGCTTGCTTGTACTTATAAAAGAAGACAGGATGTTACTTCTGGAGATATTTTCTTTTTTCCCTACTTTTCCTTTCCCTTTCAGTTTTTCTATTTTTGCTTTTGCTTTTACTATTATTAAAATCCTTAATACTATTTTTTAAAAAGAGAAATGTTGTAATTTGATTGAATCTGAGTGCCTATGGTTTCCAATTGAGACAGGACACATAATTCTTGAAGTCTATATTAGGACTATAATGTATTGCCTGTTAATTCTTCATCTGATAATGAGGGGAAATAATTTGCCATTATTAATTTGTTGGAGTGATCAATATGATATCTGCTGAATTTTCATTATTTTCATATGTGCTCTAATGGTACAATTGAACAATGAAAAGGTTAACATTTTTAGTGGAACTTTCCAAACCAGTTCAGTAAAAAAAGAAAAACCTGCTGACTTACCACAAACTGAACAATTATATGGCTTTTCTCCTGTGTGTCTGATCCTGTGTTTTACTAATTTCCGTGGTAAGTTAAATGATTTTCCACACTCGTCACATGTGAATACTTTTTCTGCTGCGTGGTTCTTCTTGTGTTCCTTTAAATTACTGAAGTTACTAAATCCTAAATGTAAGAGAATCTGAATCAGAGTGATCACACAGAATGAAATAAATTACAAAAGGGCCACGCTGCCTTTAAAAATCGATGCCCCGTGCTACCTCCGACACCAGAGCCGAGGCCAAAGACTCCAGGACCTGAGCATGCGAGGATGAAAACTCCCCCCATTAACTCAGGACCTACAAGGGGAAGAGTCGGAGTGCACCTGTGCATAACCGGTGGCCTTGAGCTGCTGCTCTTTCTGGCCACAGCCACCTGGCTGCTTTTGGAACCCTAGCTGGACGGTGCCGGCAACCAACCAAGGCCTAGAAGGGAAGGGGCACATGCCGGGATTACAGCTTCTCTTGCTCGTGCAGGTAAGTGTTAACCAGACTCACCTCGGCCACAAATATCACACAGATGCGGTTTTTCTCCAGAGTGAATAATAATGTGGCGCTGGACGTCTCCAGAGGCAGCAAACCTGTAATGCCACCGTAAAAGCCACTGTGAATGTTCCAATTAAGCACCCTCCGTACTCTCCTGCCTTGACTGCATCATGTTCCTGGCAGGCAAGCCTCCCCCCCCACCCCCCGGAGGAAGCAGCCCACCTCCCCATCCCTCCCGGACACAGTCTGCCTGGTCCAGGCATCACCAGCTCCAGCCGCAAAAAGGCCACCGAGGGCTGCCATGCTGTGCCACCCCACCCTCTTCTGAATCCGAGAGTTGCAGAGTTACATGCACAAATCAGACCTGTGTATTGTGCTACTAAGAAATTATAACGAAGCATTTTGAAAAGCAAGATGACTGAAACGCAAAAAGCAACCTAATGCTTTATGTTGAAAAAGTGTCCTTTTTGGAGCAACTTAGACATGTGTTTCACATCCAAATAAAACATTTTATCAACATTTGTATCAAATATATATTTACATCTCTAGTTTTCTATTCAGCATGAAAGTTAAGCGAACTGAAAAATAATGTATATTCATAATTGATTAAAAACAAATCAACAAAACAGGTATGACTCTTCAATCAACAGACAGCTTTAGAAGCAAAAGTGCTTTGCTCATCCCGGGATAAGCCTTATTTTAGGAGAGAAGCGTATCAAAAGCTGCAAGTCAGGCCTCCCCTTGCCATTTCCCACTTTGGGCAGCAAACTTCATTTGCTGCTGTGCTTTTACTTTGGTGCTGACACACACCGACCCATGACTAACGAAAAGTTAGGTAGGCAGACCAGCCACCATTCCGGGACGGAAGTATTTTCATGCTGGCCAGCATGAGATACAAAATAGATTTCCCCCAGCATGAGATGCAACATAGATACACATCTCCAGTTCTCTAATACACTATTTGCTGGCACTTCTCTTCCTTTGCCTTGTTTTTTGGTTTCTTTAAACCATAGTTTGTTATAACTAGATACTTACTATGTGTAAGCCTTCTAAAATAAACAAATTGGATCCTACTTTGCATTCTCAATCTAGCTGGAAGAAATTTAAGAGACCCAGAACCTTTTCATTTTGGTATATTAGCCAATAGATGTTCTGGGACGTGTTGTCTTGAAGGATGGTGAATAGTAATAAATACATATATGACTAATAGATATAAATGCATATAATATGTATGAATTTCAGAGCCATACAAACCTCTTCCCACAGATTTCACAAATGAATGGTTTTTCACCAGAATGGCGACGCAAGTGAGTCTGAAGATTGCCTGCCTACAAAGATAAGGAAATGTTTTTAACAAAAGGATGTTAACTACAGAAGTTTACAGTTGGAAACGAAGATCTTCCAAGTAGTTCCTTGTGCCAATAACGATACTCAAAAAGTAAGAGCAATCTCCCCATGTACTATTGTCATATCTGAAAATAGGGAGGGGGATTCTTTAGGCACAAGCAGAGAATTCAACCCCTTATCAGACCTGGACTACAACACTCGCCACCAGCAGACGGGCTGAACACAGAGTCCCTACTTGCAAGGCAGGCACTTCCAAATGGAGGCAAGGTCCTTCT